GCCAGGCGCTGGAGAACAGCAACGGCTGCAGCGACGGTCCCACCAGGAGCGGATTCGTCAGCAGCGGGGGGTGGGCGTGGCGCTAGCGTTTCACTCGTCGCTCTTACCCCCGCCGGGGGGTGGTGGTGGTCGACCACCGCCGCCGCTGTCGCCGGTGCTGGCAACCGGAGGCCGAGAAGAGAAACGTTCTGGTGGTTGTGGTGCTGGCAGTGGTGGCGTAGAGGGTAGAGGCGACGACAGGGCAGGACCGGGCCGTTTCGGGTACAGCCTCGGGAAGCCGTTCCACAGCCAACGCGTAGCGTCGGCCAAGTTCATCACCTTTGGAAGGGCCGGGGGTCAGGAGAGTGGTCGGGGATCGGACCTGCGCTTGGTGACAGGTGACGGGACGGATCGGGTCGGTCAGGTTGTCTATCTTCGTCTGTGGTCTATCTATGACTGCTGTTTTTTGGTGCGGTGGTGGGGGTGCTCGTGCTTTAGCCTTTAGCCGATCAAAGGGGGCGCGCTTGGTTCAACGCAGACCTAAGGCCTATACGCGACTAGTCGTCTGTTGGTGGTGACGGCGAGGCGCTGTGCATCAATCGAAGGGTGTATGTACTGAAATTGGAATTCTTCCTCTGCTGCTATCTCACCCATGGGGCGTTGAACCTCTGAGGCAGCTATTATAGCAGTATTTTCGATGCTCAATGCTCAAACCGCTTTGTGAGGGTCGCGCGCGCGACAGGGCGGAGAAGTTATTGACCGGTTTTGGTGTTGCTGCGTCCCCCCGGTTGAGATTCTTGGCGCATACTTGTACATGACATCAATTTTGGTGTTGTGTCCGTTTTCTCGTCTTAACCTCCTTTGATGGTGGCGACGAGGACGTTCTACAAGTACACGCGAATGATTCGGAGATTCAATCCATTTCGAGCGTTTTTTTCCGTTGACCGCGAAACACCGGCCCGTCCGCCCGCCCGCGCGCCCTCCACCCGCCGCCGTCGCGTGTCATGCCGCCTGCAGGAGGGGAGGATGGCACCATCAAGCTCCTCGACGTCTTCTACGGGCGGCACGGGCGACATGCGGGTGGTGATACCCCCCCATACCCCCCCCCCGCCGCCGCAGTCGCCGCCGCCGCCGCCGCTGGCGACCACCTCGACTCGACCCGAGACAATACCGGGGACAACAACCACCACCACCACCCCGCCGCTGCCTCCCATGGAGACCCTCCTGGGACGAAGACCGTGCGAGACATGTCGGGCGACGCCTCCTTCCATCCCCCCCGTGCGACGGTGGTGCAAACCCTGCCCTCGCACGAGTCCTCGGTAGGAGCGCTTGCCGTGGGAAGCTTAATCTTGTATGATGGGCACCCTGCAGAACGTTCCGGACGCGCTCTGATCGTGTCCGGGGGGGGGAAGATGGAGGCGCGGGCTTGGTCGTGCTGCTGCTTCGGTGGTGGAGATCGGCAGCAGGGGACGTGTGTCCCGCCGGTGAGAAGGACGTTATTTTTTTCTGTGCTGCATGCCCGTATGCACGTTCGTTCGCGATGCATGCACACCGTGGGTAGGTGTGTTGTTGGTTCCCTTGCGGCTGTACTAACACTCGGTGTTA